TCTATATTGTATATATATGTATATATACAATATATATATATATGTATATATATATGAACACACACACATATATATACATATATATATATATATATGTATATACATATATATGTATATATATATTATATATATTATATATATATATATATATATATATATTTACAAATATATATATGTAAATCTCTCTCTCTCTCTCTCTCTCTCTCTCTCTCTCTCTATATATATATTATATATATATATATATATACATATATATATATATATATATATATATATAGGTAATATATATATACATATATATATATATATATATATATATATATATATAGGTAACTTTATTTTATTTTGATGAAAATCCTTCTGACTTAAGGTCCACATTATCACCTTTACTCATTGCATTTTTTTAGATTCTTTTTTTCGATATTTTTTTACCATTGTTATCATTAAACCACCTTTTAAAAAATGCGCTGAAGAAACACTTACCATAAAGTATCACACAAATTGTTGGGGTTAAGAAGGGGGAGGAGCTAATGACGTCACCACGTTTAGCCAATGAGAATACACTGTATGATATCAAGTATAGCTAGAGATATAATCTTTGGTACAATTTATTTGCTACTGCTATAATCATCAGACGTAATACAAAATTCCCCTTTTATTTTCATTTGCGATAACCAAGAATTCCTTACCTTAACTGCCATCAGAATATTCAAGGGGATATTCTGATGAATAAGAATACTTATTATCTTAAATACAAATGTCAAATATTTGTTTTACTTTTAGAAATTACGAGTAAATTGAGTACACTATACAAGTAATGACTTATCTAGTGATTTCTGGCATCTCTCAAAGCGTCCATATTCGCCAAGTGCGGTGACGTCACTAGCTCCGCCCCTATATATACGCCTCGCAGTTTTCGCGGAATTTTTAAAGTGATTCCTGGATATATTTCTTTAACAATGGATCAGTGTGCTCAGCGAGATTGGTGCATACAAAAGAAAAGATCTGCTGCGCTTAAAACAGCTGAAACCTTGGCACGCTATTCGTTCCATGCATTTTGCAGAGGAGTGCTTTAATTACCATCTGCCATAAGATTGCGTGAAACTTTCTTCGAAATTACGCTCATGTGACTATACATATACAAACATATATGTATAAAAATTTTCTTATATGTATGCATATTTATTTATTTATTCATATGTATATGTATGAAAATGTACATATGCATGTATGCATGTTATATATATATATATATATATATATATATATATATATATATATGTTCATTCATTTTTGACACACGTTCATGTGCGTTATATATATATATATATATATATATATATATATATATATATATATATATATATATAAGTATATATACATTTGTACATATGTAATATGTATGCATTTATGTTTATATATCCATTTACTTATTCATATGTATGTGTATACATATTCATGTATCTATTTCTATGTATATACATGTATATTCATCTATATGTATGTATCTATGTGCATGTACATATATATTTATTTATATAGACATACGCATATACACATATAGCTGTGAGCACACACGCATACGGACACACATACAGCTAAATATCTAACAACCAAACTATCTAACAATCTACCTATCTATCTGTCTAATAACCCAACAATCAAACTATCTAACAATTTAATCATCTGACAACACAACTAACAATCCAACTATCTTTTTACCAATACAACAACCCATCTAACTATCTAACAATTTAAGAATCTAACAATCCAACTATCTAACAACCCAACTGTCTAACGATCTAACACTGTATCTAACAATCCAATTGTCTAACTATATGAGTCTAACAATCCAACTATATAACTACTTAACTATCTAACAAGCTAACTATCTAGCACTCCAACCATATATCTATTTAACTGTCACACAACCCAACTATCTAACAATCTATCTAACAACCCAACCATCTAACATTCTAACCATCTAATCTAACATTCTAACAATCCCCAACTATATGATTATTTATCTAACAACCCAATCATCGAACTATCTAACAGTCTAACAATCCATCTAACACCCCAACTATATAATTATTTAACTATCTAACAACCCAACTATCTAACAATCAAACTATCTAATATTTTAACTAGCTGACAACCCAACTAAAAATCCAACTATCTTTCTAACAATATAACAACCAACTATCTAACAATTTAAGAATCTACCAGACAATTCATATATCAGTCTAGCAACCTTAGTATCTAATAACCCAACTGTCTAACAATCTAACAATCCAATTGTCTAATTATGTAAGTCTAACAATCCAACTATATAACTATTTAACTAACACTCCGATATATAATTATTTAACTATCTAACAACCTAAGTAACAACCCAACTATCGAACTAACAATCTAAGTAACTAACAACCCAACTATCGAACTATCTAACAATCTAACAATCCAACTATTCATTAATCTATCCAACAATCCAACTATT